TTGTTTCTCTCTCTTTTTGCATATAAAATATGTCTCATATGTGTACACACACAAAAGCAAAAAAAAGAAAAAGTGAGAAAGAAAGCATAATGGAAAGAAAAAAAAAAAAAGAGAGAAATACCGATTACCTTATCTCCTTACCTTTATATATCGATCATCCACTCTGTGAAACTTCTTCTTCACACTTAACTCTCTACCTTGTTGCCCCAGTAGTACCACTACTATTGTTCACACTGCCATCCTTTTTAAATCCAGAAAGGAAATTTATATTCGTTGCGGTATTACGTGCCGCTTTCGCAAATCGCGAACCAAAACTCTCTTCCACTTGTCCCCGTTTAGATCCATCATTAGCCGTTGATGTTGATGTTGTTGTTGTTGTGTTTGCCGTGTTGGAATACAAAGTGGATGATGTTTGAAGAGCACCTCCACTACTACTACTATTAGTCCCAACAGCACTATTCCCAGTAGTTCCTCCGCCAAGGCCTACTAAATTGTTAAGAGCATTTGAAAATCCACTACCACTCGTGTGTTGTTCATTCTGTGTCGTTACTGGTGAAAAGAAGTTGGAGAGTTTCAATCCACCACTGGTGGTATTAGTGGTCGTTGCAGCCGACTGTGAAGAAGTGCCTGTGGCAATACCAAGAGAAGCCTCACGTTGTAAATCACGTTTGGTAGCCTCAATCACACCTCTCTTGGAGAGATTTGCAATCCATGAACGAACATCTTCTCTTCTTCTTCCTTTTAGTTCTACAAGTCGAACAAAGTTTTGTATAGATCGATCCTCTGGTAACATTGCCTCATAGTAAACATCCACAAACGTCTCTACAGAGGCATCCACTTGTAATACTTTAAGTGTACGATTAAGTCTATCAAACTCACGTCGAACAAGTTTCATATATCCTGTTAACAGAGTAGGAGCAAAACGATTAGGATCATTATAATTTGGAAGTTGTAGAAAATTACGTTCCAATGCGGCTGAATCAACTCGCATAAGACCCAAGGCAAACTCTGGTGGTAATCGACGCATACGATAAAGGGAATCTGTAAAGATAGGAATTACACTAGCCGCAACCTTATCAAGAAGAAAACGTAAAATAGAAGATGGAAGTACGGCTGCACATACGATTACCATATCGTGTAATACCGCACTCATAGATCGAATAAGATTAGATTCATCATGAATATCTTGATCCTCTCCACGACGATTTACAAATGCACCATTTCCATATTCCACAAGGAAAGGAGCCAAATTTAATTCTGTCCCTTGTACAATAGATTGAATAGCTTTACTATAGAGAACAGAGAAGGCTTCAGTAACGGTATCAAAACCAACTTCTTTTGCCGGTGCCTCTCCACGTACACAAACTTCTTCTCCAAGATCTTGACTGGTGGATTGACATAAATCGGCTGTATTTATAATAATACAGGCCCGACGCATATCTACTTTTGTCGCCGCAGGAGAAGGAAGAAGTGCCATAAGAGCTTCTGAAAAACGAATAAGATGTTTACGCCAAACAGCAGCCATTTCCAATAATACATCTTGTTGAGAAATACGAATAGTACGTTTTAAACTTTCTTTAATAAAAATAAAAAGATCTTCTGCAACAGGAAGTGTAGCACCTACCGTAATATCTGCATCATTATACCATCCACTTACAACAGATCCAGTAATAGAAGGATTGGTATTATTAGTGTTATTATTATGATTTATACTACTACTAGTATTACTATCCATATTAGTTTCTATTCCTATAAGAGGCTGTGAAAGTGCATCTCCCATTAATTTATCTTCATTATGTACAAAAAGATCCATATGCGCTTTAAAAGATGAAAGTATCATTCCATTATATCTATAATCTGGAACTTCACTTCTACCAGGAAATTCATCTTTCCATGCCATCATATGGGTAAGATCTCGTTCAATATCAATAGTTTTTTGAAGTACATATGTTAATACTACTACATCAATATTACCAGCAGCTTCACGTAAAAGATAATCAAGTTCTGCTTTCGTTCGAAGACAAAAAGTAACACATAATTCTTGTGGTACACACCAATGACGTGGAAATACATTAAGGAATAATCTTTCATTTTGTTCAAGAAGATTTCGAATATACACATATCTTCTCTCTGTACGTTCCAATTTCGCATCTTCTGAACCACGTTTAAAACGGGTTGAATATACTTCTAACATTTTTTCGATAAAATGATCACGAATTTTTCGTATACTTTCTTTTCCTAATAAATCTACAACAGCACAAGCCTCTGCCATTAAAGTTTCATCCAATGAGTCTAGAGAAATATCTCCAAATACAGTATGACGAATATAGTATTCCATTTGTCTACAAAGTTGTGCTTGTTTATCATTAATTTCTTTTATCTTTGGAATATCTTTCATACTTTCAAACATCGCACTATATTTTTGTGCTTCCATTAAGGCATCACGACATTGAATAAACTTTCGTCTTTCAAACGATGTTGACAAGACTTGTAATTGCAACATCCATAACTGCATGGAACGTAAAGTATTAATACTTGTGGTGAGATTGGTCTTTGCGGTATCCAATTCCCGAATATGTTGACACAATCCACGCACGGTATCTTCACTCTTCGCAGCCTTTGCTTTAATATCAGAGACCCGTTCATATAAGGCGGCCACCGCTCCTTTTGCATTCCGCAGATCTTTATCGGCTGTGGCGGCATTCGTGGCCTGCGCCTCTACGGCCTTCAGCAGATCACTTTCCGTCTGGGCGAGTCGATTGGTGGCCTCCTCGAGAAAAGAGGGAAGGGCCGCGAGACTCGCCTCGTTTGGGAAGCGCGCGTTGAGAAATTCGACGGGGTCAAAGTCGGGGGCGTCGAAGGCGTCGCGTGGGGGAAACACCGCCGCCAGCGCCTTTTCAACAGCCGCACTAAACCGCACCGCCGGCATTTCAACTCACACAGGCAAAGTCTTGCAAAATATATATATATATATATATACAGAGAGAGAGAGAGACTGAGGCTATGGGGGGTATAACCACTCCTTCTTTCTCTCTAGATATATATATAGATATTTGGGGTGAGGTGGTTTTTTTTTTTCTTCGTCCGTAACACCTGCACCTGCCACTAACTTTTTTTTGTTTGTTCTCTTTCTTTATTTTCCTCTTTCTCAGTGTGTATGTATGTGGAAGGAAATGAAATAGAAAAGAAAAGAAAGTGTGTGTGTGTGTGTGTAGGAGTATAGATAAATTGAGGATAATTAGTATGGTTAATAATATTACCAGAATATCCTGAACAATAGTAGTACGGATACAGAGTACGTTTTTTTTTTTTTTTTACTGTGTGGGATGCAGTATATATATTTTTTTCCCACAAAAAGAAAAGTGGAAGGGGCACATACACAAACACACACAGAGACAGATAGTGACGCACACGTATAAACTTTAGTCTGTTTACGTACGCGCACAGGTTCACACGCAGAGCGCCTTTCGAACAGATAGTAAAAACAAAATAAACCAACATGAGAGGCAAAAAAGAAAGAAAAAAAAAAAGAAAGAGAAAGAGTGAGTAAATATTATTGCGTAGAAACCATGTTTTACGTACTCATATACCTATAAGTATTTTTCTTTTTCTTTCTTTCTTTTCTTTTTCTTTTTTCTTCTTCTCTTGCCGGATTTAAGTAGTTAAATACGAATGTAAAAAGGGAAAACACACACACACAGACCGGGGGTATGTCTCTCTCTATTTCGTTCGGAAAGACTTACAATATTCCTCCTTATTCATACTCTTTTCAGTTTTCTTTTTCTTTTTTTTATACGTTATTTCTTGTTCTTTTCTTCTTTTTTTTTTTT